AGCTCCCCGCCGGCGAGCCCCCCGCCGCAGCAGCCCCGCAGCCCCCTCCCCAGCTGGCTCGTACCTCCTCTGGACGTCCGTCAGCGTGACCCCCTGCTCCGTCACTCTGAAGTGCACCAGGGTGGGCGTGGGCAGCGTCTCCAGCTCGAAGGTGGAGGAGATGGCTTTCTGGATGGCCGGGGCTCCCGTCAGCGTCTCCGTGCTCACCGAGTTGAGGTACAGGACGTTGCAGACTGCAGGGACAGGACAGAGCCCGGCTCAGCACGGGGCCGGCATCACGCCGGCGTCTCGCTGCGCGGAGCACGTGCGGCGCCGAGCACAGCGGTGCCGGGCCAGGTCCCAGGCATCGTCCTGCAGAACCGGACACATGCACGTGGGTCAGATTTGTTACGGTGAAAATTAAAGATTTGGTGACTCAGAAATTCTTCACAAATTTATTTTGGTTTACTTTACTTCTTTGCACTAATTGTTTTAAAAGTCAGAGTTTAATTTAATTTCTGGTTTCTAAATGTCACATTTGGGGTTTTTTTCTGTTTATCACATATTTCCTTTAATGAAAAGCAGAAATACCCCAAGCCAACTAACGGCTGAAGCCCAACCTAAAACATGACATTTCAGGCTGATGGAGCTGTTCAAAGGGCTGTTCTGGGTCAAACTAAACTTTTCAGCTTGCCAGCTAATTTTTCAGAATTTCCAGCATAACAAAGCAGTTTCCGACTCCCCTGACTGCGCCGTGACCCATCTGCACGGTCTCCTGCCCGTGGCTCTGCTCTCACCTGGAGCCCACCCATCGCTGCACCCAGGCTGGCGGCACTCGGGCACAGAGGAGAAGCGAAGACCCTTCCCTGTCCTGCTGTGCCCTTTCCATGTGTCCATCAGGTCCCTCAGCAATTTCACCAGCCCCCAACTGCCCCATCCTTCTGGAAACTCCAGACGTTTGATGCCCTGGTTGAGGCCAATCAGGAGAGAAGCTTAAAAGTCAGGGGCTATTTAAAATCGTGGGAATTGTGGGTCTTCTATCAGCCTTGGGACCTCAAGAACTGTCTTTCAAACTTTACTTCACTATTGTGAGGACCAAAAGTCTCCTTTCTTTAAAAATGGCAGGTTCCCTTGCAAGCCCACGATCCGAGGGTGTGAAGGAAACCTGCAGGAATCTCCCGCCTGGCGACAAGGCCGGGAGGGGGACATCGCACCGGCACCCACTGACGCGCTGGGGTGACCTGCTGCTCTGCACAGGTCCAAGGACAGCGCCGGCTTTTCAGCTTCTTCTGTGGCTGGTTTCAGAATGGAAGACGGAGAAAAATCGAGCCCTGTGGTCGATACGTCAGGGCTAAAGCCCGGAGCCTGGGTGCGTGCCCAGAGCTCTGGCCATCGCCAGCTCGACTGTCCCCGGGTGGCAGCAGCCTGCTCCTCTCCTCACCAGCAGTTTTCTTCAGCAGGGAAGGTGTGGACTCCGGAGCGCAGTCAGGGCTGTCCTCTCCATCACTGAGATCTGCACAAACGACAAGCGGGAGCCCTGATGCCACAGCCCAGGGGCTGCTCCGGGGCACCGCTTCGCACTGGGTGAAATTCCTTCCCTCACAAGAGGCCCACAAGCCCAGGGCTGCTTCAATCGCAGGGGTTTAGAGCAGTAATTAATTCCGTTGTCCTCCATCTCCCCCTCCTGGCTCCACTCATCTCTGACCTCCCCGCTCCTCCTTTCCTTGCCCACCCTCGGTGGTCCTCTGCTCCCCGCTGCTCTGTTGAGCACCCCCCGCCCCCAGCAGAAGCAAGTCCCCACCGTCTGGTACTCGAGTCAGCTTGTGCAGGTCCCTGCTCCGCCTGTGGCCAGGGCAATCAGCCCCGCTGCGGGGGTACCTGGGTGGTTCGGCCCCCTCCCCGCTGCAGGACCCTGCCCACCCCCCCAGCCTGGCAGGAGGGATGGCTCGGAGCTCCTCTCCGGTGCCCAGCACCTACCTCGGGTGGGGATGCTCAGCTTGCAGGGCAGCGCCAGCGGGGTGATGGCGTGCTGATACACGAAGGCAGAGAGGCTCCCTGCAACACAGAACGGCGAGTCGAGGGGGACAGAAACCTCCCACCCCCACTCAGCAGTGTCCCCGGGAGCTCAGAAGGAGGGAAGGGGGGGTGCTGAGCTGGGCAATTTGGGCCTCGCAGCAACAAGAGGGAGTTTTCCAACCCGCACCCCACGTTCTTGTTTTGGAGACTGCTACCAGCTGCTGCGGGCGACGGCACCGTCCTTACCGAAATAGAGCTCCTCGCTGGCTCCTTTCAGGCGCACCCCCTTGGCAGAGGACTCGATGAGGAAGTGCCGGACGAGGTCACTGCTCTCCTCGCCTGCAAGCGGGACGGAACACAGCGTCAGCACCCGCACGGCTGCATCGTTCCACCCCTGCCCGCCCCAGCCCCCGCCGCAGGGCATCCATGGAGCTGCTGCCCGTGCCGGGGTGGGCTGGGCACGCACCGACCCCGCCGCCAGCGTCGCACACCACCAGCCTCCCGCGGCTTCTCGGCTCGCCTTCGATGTTAACGTTTGCGGAAGCAAACCCCACCATCTGAGCAAGTCCCTGTACCTGTCTGGCTGCTGGACGGAGAGACGGGAACCTTCATCGCCAGCCCAAAAGACCCCCGGTACGACGTGCTGTCCCGCACAAGGAACGTGCCTGGCTCCTTGTCCCTCAGCAGCTGGATCGCTGTCAAAGCACAGGCGGAGGCTCAGCCAAGCAAAGCAGGTGGAACCTCCCCGCGCCGCGTTTCTCCTCCGGCCGATGCTCGCGCGCGGAGTCGTTCCTTGGCAGCAGCGAGGAATGCTCAGCAGCGTTTGCTGAGGACACGCACGTCCCCGGTGCGGGTACCGGCTGCTGCGTCCCTGCAGACTGAGGGGCCCCGGCTCGGTCCCGTGGGTCCCTGTGGTCCCCCGGACAGAGCCCCTCTCCACTTGCCCTTTTTGAAGGCAGGAGAAGCTTTGTTGGACTTGAGGCAGGGACAGAGCGGCCGTGCCAAGCCCGTGTTTCTGAGCCTTCCCCCTGGACCTGTGAGTGGGTCTCTCCATGCCCGTCAGCCCCAATACACTTCGAATTGCGGTTGCTGAGTCCCCACCGGACCTCAGCATGGGCAAGAGCCGGGCTGAGGAGCTGCGGGGAGGCAAACCGCAGCGCGGGGGACAGGCAGCAGTCCCGCAGAGAGCAAGGCTGAGGTGGGGTTGTCCCAGCAGAGACACTCGCTGCCTTACCTTGGTCCCTGGTTATGCTGGGCTTGAACCAGTATTTTGATGTATCCATCACAAACTTCATGGTCGGCTGCCCAGCCCTGAGGGGACCTGCAAGAGACCTTACGGCGTCAAGGCCAGCGGGGAACACGAGAGACCTCCACAGCAGACATCACTGAGCAGGACAGAGCCCTGGTAAAGATATTTCTCTTTCAAGCTGGCCAGGGTTGAAGTTTTTTTTTCAATCCTTTTGATCAGAGCTTCCCCCCTGCTCCTCAGAATAATTCATTCTCCACGTAATTATCTCTCTTGGCAGGCTGCGACGGAGCGCAGAGGCAGCATGTGGAATCCCCCAGCAGTGCCAGTCTGCCCAGCCCTGCACAAGCCCACTGGACCATGGGGATTTACACCTCAGCCGAGGATCTGACCCACAAAGCGCTCCTGCTATTCTCGTAAGAATCCCAATTAAAACCCTCTGCCCCGAGAGCTGCCTCTGCTAATCTCCTCCAGAGAACAACAGCCCTATTGTTGACCCTTGAATGTGGGACCTCATAAACTCTGGTGTCTTCAGATGTCTTCCAGAGCAAACTGGCACCCGAACCCCTCCTCCCCACCCGCTTTGGGGCCACAAGCAAGTATGAAATGGCAGAATTACAGTTCTCATTCTCAGGTACTATAAATAAGTGTATCTGCATCTCCTTGAGGGGACCAGAGCGTTTCTGCCTGCTGAGCACGTGCCCCAGGACCACGGTGGGCAAACCACCGCGGCTAACGCCGGGTTGCCAGCAAACAGCTGGGGACCACCGCAGAGCCCTGCAGCCCCGCGGAGATACAGCGAGGATCCCCAGCGAGGACCTCCTGTCCTTCATGTCTATAACCCACAGATAAACCGGAGTAGAGATGGCCTCCCCGCTTCCTGGCAGCTGGGGGGGTCCCCAGCTCCTTCCCCCCAGCCCGGCCCCGTGGCAGGGCGCTGACTTACTGTCCGAGAGGCAGGAGAGCACTGGTGCCGACAGCGCGTTGTTCAGGCCACCGACCCTCGAGCCGGGGCTGCAGCTGGGAGGGGGGGGCGGCTTGACGGCGGGCGGGGGGGGGTTG